CGAACATGAGAGTACTGAAGCGTCGACGAAACCATCGGACTATAACTACGTGCTATGGTCGCCAACGGGATCTCATTGGAAATGATTCTATTGCCTTGTTAGATATGACAGTTAACGTTTTTGTAATGCTTATATTCGTATGCACTATAGTTTTGTTGTCATTACCCCGATTCGTACTTTGAAAACATGACATTACTTTGATAAGACTTGCATTTACTTGGCAGATATTTTCCCCGAAGCACAAGACGTTTACGAAACAATTATATTGCAAACATTGAGGTTTAAGGGTATGTTGAGATGAAAATTAAAATTATTGAACATAACTAGGTAGTTATCAATTTTTTTTTTAAATAAGTGATATAAAAAACAAAACAAGCATACTGATGTAATGGTTTACTAATACAACTTAAATTACAGGAAGCCTAGGCCTTCGACCTTATATACTGTAAATCAGGTACATTTCGCGAGAAATACATTTTCGCAAAACTACAGCATGAATACTATATCGTACACAGGAATCCTCAAGAAACTTTTTAAAGTAAAGACAGGCAAATCAAACGTTCATCGATACAAAACCAACATAAATATATGTAAATGACATGCTTGTGAAAATATAAGTTCGCGAAATATAAATGGATTAAAGTATCTCTTCGTCTTTCGTTTTACATATATACATTTACACAATTATGTTTTTAGGGTGACTCGTTATATTTCAGACCCAATCAAGGTCTTCGTTAGGATATTGTATGTCTGGCTAGTCCCTGTTAACCGTCGGATTCTCAGAAACCAAATATATATATATCCAACCGCTATTATGTGGCTATTCTACGTCTTAACATTTATACTACTGGTATATATCAGCTACCCAGGGGGTTTATGGGAAACATTACTATTTGTTCACCAGAGGCGTGTGATGTTTCCGAGATGCAAAGCTTTGGGGGAAACATGACAAGCCAAATGGAACACTCCGATGTCAATAAGTATTCATGATAACCAACAACAACAACAACAAAAAACATTTTTAAGAGCTAATTACGCAAAATTAAAAGAATAATATTAAGAAATGGGTTATACAATAACAGACTGTAGAGAGCAAGAAGGTAAACACGACCTTGTTTTGTTTGTTTTTTGCTGGTTCGGTATTTTTTTAAGTCATGTTACCACCCAAACCAATTCATTATAGGAATGAGGTAAAATAATTTGGTTTTTAACCAATATCTTAAGTTTTCTGAAGAAAACATTCCGAATGTTTCATAAATTGATCCCCTAAATTAAACAGTCGACTTCCATCGATAACTGTATAACTTATTTGACCAATAAACGTAAGATGGAAATAGAAGCACCAACGCCTGTTGTATGACGGTGTAGGGACTAGCCAGATCTATAGTATATCGTACAACACAATCACTCACCCCCGGTGTATACTATTAAAGAGTCAAGGTTTCTTCCTCCAGTAAACATGACCAAACTATACTTAAATCTATCGTTACCAAGGTTTGTGAAAGAAGAGCATTATCATCCTGTGTTCCTGAATGATTTTGTTTCGTTTAACCCTTTCACCCCTAAATAATTCAGCAGACTCTACTATGCATTGACCTGGAAGAACCCATTATGGTCTGCAGAGGTGAAAGGGTTAAATAAGATATTACAAGATTTTCTGTAACTTTTACCTACAAATAATTTGTAATTTTCTGCGTTCATATTCTGCCTTAATTTCATCGATTTTGAGTTCCGATATCGATTTTCTTTCCCACTTTCGTATTTTCTTTTTATCCATTTATTGATTTACATATATTTATTTTGTGCTAAAAACAAAATCACAAAATCCTTGTTACTTTTGGAACGTCTAAACCTGGTCAAAATATCATCTTGTGCACTTTGTTGCTTTAATTAAAAGTTTGAACTGTAATTTCAATTTGTCCTTGCTATATATATATATATATATTAACAATCATAATACAAAAAGCACATTGAACTTGATCTTGAATCTGTTTTTTTTTTTGTTTTTTTGTTTTTTTTTATCTTTTTTAACCCTTGGTAACAATCATCTAAGTATAGTCTGGCTCTGATATAGAAGGTCGTCTAAGTATGTATTGCAATTGCCTATAAACAAAAAAAGGTGAAAACGTACTACAACATACAATGCCGCAGGTTGTTATACATAGAGATAAAAAAACAAACAAACAACAAAGTGACCTACTGAGACTAATTGAATAGGGAAGCACAGCTATGGTGGGACAACCATAGACTGGTCCAGACATTTCACTAAGAGTTAGGATATAAAGCATACATATTACAATCGACAAAACCTTGATATCATGAGATTAGAATTATTTATTGATATTGCCCTTAGAGCAGCTAAATGGACATCACTGTTGTATTTAATTCTCATATAGTAGCAAAACACGAAAAAAAATCACTTCATCCTCTTTGTGATCGAATTCATTTAGAATATACTTCACAAGTTTATTAAATTGTCACTTCTAGTTCGGGAACTGTTTCTATAGCATGAAAACTGATGACCTGATGTTTATTTCTCAGCATAAAAGAAAAATAAGAAAAAAGATAGTGAAATATATTTTCGTGGAATGGGTGTCCTCTAAGAAGTAATAGTGAATATTTTGTATAGCGACTTCTGATTTCATTCTATACAGCATAAACAGCCTAGACAGGTAAAACCGCATTTTCAAATCAACTTCAACATGTGATCCGCAACGGATATCCCAATTTATAACAGATATTCGACCCATTTGTTCCTAAATCTTTAACGGGTCAAAATGCTTCAAGTTTAAATCTTCTTTTTTTTAAAATATATATTTTCAGTTCAGTTCCCCACAAAATAGATTGCAAACTCATAAAATTAAAAATAATATGTTGTTTTCGTATTAACTTGAAAAAGGAGCAAGACAATTCGAAAAATTAAACAATAACTTAAACATGATTTAACTTTGTTAACTGATTGCTCCCATTTGCTTCGACCCCAAAATGGAAACAAAAATAATCTGATGTTATATACTGGTGACCTGGACCCTGGTCATTTCCAGCCGTTGTTAAAAATGGTACCAACCCCTTCTGTATATGTACCTTTGCTGTTTTTATCTATCATTTAAAGGTCAGTGTTATATCCTCAGAAAGGAAAATGTTGAATATGGATTGACCTAAAGACAATATATGTAATCCCTGGAAATGAAACTGGTATTCTTCATGTTCACTTACAGATCGAAAAGAGGTGATATTTCAATTCCTTACTTGTTTCCTTTCAAAGTGGCATTTACCAGATCACAGAATAAGAATATACGTACGTCTTGATCGGTCTTCAAACTTTTTATAAGATACAAGTATTCTTAGTTTCTTTTTACGTTTTTGATGTTTTTAGGTACATTTACATCAATTTTTGAAAATAACTTTTTCAATTATATTTCTGCTTCACATTTGTGAGGTCATGTAAACATAATATTTTTTTATTTGCTTTTTCAAATAGTTTTCTACTTCCCAATTGAAACGTTATGTAAACAGAACATGTATTTTTTTATTTCACGCAATATGCAACCCATATGATAATTATTTCTGGACCAGTCTATATGTCTACACTAGACTATTCTCGTCATTATGACGGCTATAATTCAATGATTGAACATAGCGTTTTCATTCTGATGTAATGTTTACAATATACAAAAGCATTCGGGACACTATAAACTGTATACATTGATAATACTGGGAGAAATAGCAAAGTCGGATATAGAACTGTCTATTCCGTTTTTGCGTATTGCAGAGTTATCTTCTCTTGGGAGCAGGAATTGATTGGTACGTCATTGGTTTTTGTGAGAAATTACGTCATTTTCTCAAAAATTGATGACGTTATTCTCACAAACAAGTGACGTAACAATCAATACCTGCTCCCAAGAGAAGATAACTCTGCAATATTCAAAGACTGAATAACAGATATCAAAATTAGAATTGGATCTTTTGCTATGCTACATTCCATTATTTTGTCATTTTTATATTCATTTACATAATTTTACATTGTATGCATACATGTAGCAAATGGAGATACATTTCTTGATGGACGATTTCGAAAAATTCCAGTGTCTTCCAAAACCTAGCATAACTTCCATATTCTTCATTGCAATGTCAATTGTGGAACTTCAAATAGACACCATGCATGTTGACTCAGTTAAAGATATTAATACGAATTTGGATTTTATTTAAATATTTCCTAAATCAAATATATCCTTAGGGCTAGAGATTTTATGGAAATGTTTAATACTTCTGACCAGAGCAGTGATATCAGCATTGAAATTATTCCCTTTCTTTTGAAAGACAATTTCCCATAGTGTTATGGAATTTTTAAAAATCCTCCTTTCAAAAAAGGCAGCAAATATTCAATAAAATACTAGATCTTTGAAAATACTATTGATAAATTGAATAATTAATATGATTTGCATGTGCATTATAACATTACAGCATAATTGTATGGATGGAATGAGCTCAGATCAAGATGAAATTCCAATTACATCAAAAAGGTCATATGAACATATTTTCTTCATTGTAGATTCATTCAAGAAGTTTATTGTTGATTTTTTTTCTTCTGAACATCCTTTTTCAAAATATAGACGAGTACATGTACCAACATTAAGAGATATAGTGGGCTCTCAAAATAAGTCCCATAGGACAAGCATAAGCCCTGTACTAAATACCTGTTTCCAAATAATTACTGATTTCAATAAATGATAGACCATGTGTACAAGAACGCTTTAGATTTCTTACAGTAACAAGAGGCTCATGGGCCTTAAGGTCACCTGAGTTATGTAAAAACTGATATTATTGATGATGCCAAATGAAAAGGAAATAATTTTGTAACAAAGGTAACTTGAACCAGATGTAATGCAAAAGTAGTGTGAAAGATCTGGGTAGTATATGTACTATGTACAAATAGTGGTTCTGTCAGTCAGCTGAATTTTGGTAAAGCACCTTAAGACCCTTTCATATATGAAGAGTATTTGATTCTACCATATCTGGATCTTCAGAAGGGGGCTGGGGACCATATAATTCACAATTTTGGTTGACCTTTGGCCTTGGAAGGTTTCGGCAAAGTTTCATCGAAATTGGTTCAGGGGTTTTGGAAAAGAAGTTGAAAATGTAAATTGTTTACAGATAGACGACGGACACCGCCGGACAAAAGGCTATCGCAATAGGTCACTTGAGACTTTGTCCCAGGTGACCTAAAAATGTCCAGAACTGGCTCATAATCTTAGAAATAATGTTAAAAATGATCAGAGTTGTAGAAATGAATTCCAGAATTGTTCAACAAAGATTCAGATGATTATACAAAGCTGCTTCTTTGTAAGACAGAAAATTAAAAAAATATTAACTTTCATACCAGTAGAACTGCATTTATCAATATCAAGTAAATATGATTAATTAAACAAGAACTGGTTCTAATTCGGTAACTTCTGAGTCTGTGTGATTATCAATTGCAATGTCCTGTTAAATTATCAACTATTTTTTTACATTAATGAAAAGGGGAATAATATCTAATTTACAGAAAGTAAAAAAAATAACAAGTTACAATCATGTACCCTATAAATGAATTTTAACATTACTTGATTTGTGAACTGATATTATGATACTCATATATATATAGTTAAAACGACAATAAAAACTGCAATGACAAAATCTATTCATATTCAGAATATTTGTTCATCCTTTCATGGACTTAGTACTGGTTTCCATCTGTGAACTGTTTTCATTCCTGAGTTTTAAATCTAGTCTTGAAAATGTTACATATTAATGTAATATTAACAAATACAGAGTAATTTTTTTTTTTTTAAAGTGATAATTTCTGTATATTGTATTCAGTTATGTTATAGAATCCAAGCCATCAAGATCTCTAAATGTAGATTTTTTTTTTATTTCACTCTGAATGTCTGCTTACGTTGCTAGACCAACATTAACCCTGTCAAATCAATAACAACAACTCTATCTATATGGTTATTGATCTGTTAAAGGTTACCAGCAGAAAATTTGTGGATTTTTTTTATTTTCTTGTTATGTGAAAATCATTGCAAAATAGCTGATCAGAGTAACTAAATCTGAATATGTTCGTTCCATGATGAACAAAGATACATGTACCACTTGCAAAACGTATTTATCACGATCTTAGAATTAAGAAATTAACTGGTAATCAGGATTGAGAAAAGTTTACAGGTGGTTTCAGTTTCTATATACATTGCATTGATTCTCTCTCACTTTATATATCAGAACTTGTAATTGTCCACCTTTTTAGCATGAGACAAGGCCTCAATCTGCCGCATCAGAAACCGGGGTAATCATAACCTTCATCAGGAAAATATATTATCCCTGCAAAGGAAACAGTAACTAATTATCAGCAAAAAAAAAGATTCAGTTATAAAATATTCAACAATATCATGGACGATACCTTTACAGAAACATTAACTACTGTATCTAATCTATATTTCATACAAATAGGTTTCATAATAATAATAATAATTTGAGGTTCTTATATACCGCTTTATCACAACCTAGTTCGTAGGTCATCTCAAAGCGGTTCACAAATTGTTATCCGTGGTTATAGGGCCTTTGCAACCCGTCAATATCTTTCTCAACTCCCTGGGGGACATACAGCCGGTGTTGCCATTTTGGCGCTCACAGTGAGAATTCATCAATTCAGCTAACTCACATTGGGAACACACTTAATTCCTGTTTTACTCTGTATACAGATTTACAGTGGCAGATCCAGAGGTTTTCTTTGGGCTTCAGGAAACACNTTTCCTCATTTTTTCCCCAACTTGGAACCCCCCTCTGGAAACTTTTTTTTCCCATTTACGTCAAATTTATATTTCAGATTCAAGTTAATTAATATGATATGACTACAGGAATATTTACCAGAAATTTGATAATTTTTATAGATTTTACCTGTCGGTATCATCACATTTAGGGAAATCCGGATTGCTTTTGGTTCTTTTACTGTTAGTGTCCGAACCATCAAACATGGATACCTTTCTTGAAATCTGAAAAAAAAAAAAAATGTTTTCAAGATATTCTAGAAGAATTCTATAGTAATGCTTTTAAAGTTTTCTAACAGATGTGGAAAGTTGATATCTCTTGACCATTGTACCGAAAATGCAAGTTTTGATTATAATTGCAAACAGTAATTTTTCTCAAATACATATATATGGCCACGATTCTTTTCTTTGCAAATCAACTTTTTGACTTTTTAAAGTGACGATGGTTCCTAGTAAAGTGCCTTGACACTGTCCATTATTGTTTATATCAGAGTCTTTCCCATGTATTGTATAACCCTTTCACCACTGTAGACCATAATGGACTCATCTATATCAATGCATGGTAGAGTCTACTGAAGTTACCAAAGGGGTGAAAGGGTTAAGTAACTCACCTTTTTACTGACTTTACAAAGGATCTCTTGAAGAGGGACAAAGACTCCATGATTTTTCTTACAGTAGAAGTACCGTTTTCCACCAATACACCCATCATGTTGACCGCCTGATAAAACAAATCGTATCTAGAATATAGTATGCACCATGAAATTTTTGCTGAAGTTTAACTTCAAACCATTTTCCCCTCTGTAATGAGGGTATATTCACCATTGCATTGAAAATTAGTAAACAAAATAATTGACATACATGTAATCATTGAATGTGAAGGCAGAAATCGATAACAGGCGACGATGTGTTTAAAAAGTGACTGTATACTGTATACTGTTACCTTTTGTTATATACTGGTATGTGTTTTATTAGCTCCAAGGGAAATCTTTTCAAAAATTCTAAAAGAAAAACAATGTTTAATCTTCATAATTTATTCTTTCCCATTCCATTTAACTTTAATCTTAAAATATTGACAAGATCTTAAATCAAGTATGTAAAGTCTTTTTATCCATCCCTCCATCCCCTACCCAACCCACCCCCAAATATCATTTTTCTGTGTATATACCTGGTGAGTCCAGCTCTAGTCCGACAAACAACATGTTAGGGTGTCCAATGCCGTCCAGGTGACCAAGGTAACGTATAAAGCCTGTCCGGTCTCCCTTGGCAACAACGTGGTCATTCATCTGGACTTGTAACCTGTGGCTGTAGCAAAGCATACAATTAATTATTTTATTATTGGTGTTTTGTATTGTATGCTTTACAGTTCATCAACAGAAAAAGGCCATTATATACTGTATAGCGCTTTAAGTTCACGGGGTCAATATTTCACAGGGTTTAAATCTCGCTGTCCGCCCGAATTCCATGTATCGTGCAAAGTAATTTGAGTGTCATCGATCATTTAAGGGTTAAACCTTGAAATACAGGTAAACCATTTGAAAACACTCGTACTGAGCGTCGTCATCCATGCATGTACCTTTGTAGGAGTAAACTGTAATCAATTAATCACCCACTGTGTACACATACATATGTTATGGCCACTTATATGTAAGTGTTGTTTTTACATGGACTGCCCAGTTGTCCGGTGATAATCTGATTTGAGTTTATTAAAGCATGCATAACAGCATTAGGTTATAAGTATTTTCAACATGTTGTGATAAGGTCTGTAAAAATGGTTAACATTTTCGATAATTTCCCTTGTGTTTAGAATTCACGGATATTAGTCAAAGCGCGAACATAGCGAAATTAAAACCCCCGTGAAATATAACGGCTATACAGTAATAGCAAACTGTTCTCACCTCTTATGTACAAATTGTTCTGAAGGTTTAAATGGGACAAACATGATTAACAATGCAATTATTTTTTAAATATTAAAATAAATAATGGTTGATCCAACACTCCTGATGTATAACTTTGCGGTAGCGTCCTGGGGTGGATCCGTGAGTGGATTCTGTAGAGCTACTTACAAATAAAACATAATGGAGCAAGAAAGGAATCTCAACACCACAGGGACGTTTTGTGTGATTTACTTGGCTACATGTTTCGGCTGCTGGTCCTGCAAATCGCACAAAACGTCCTTGTGGAGAACTTGAGATTTCTTTATTTAATCATTATGTTTTAAAATATTAGTAGAGAATAGAATAAGGGGAAAATCAGCCCTCTGCACAAAACAAACGGTACATAATTAAGACAACATCAAAAACCTACTAGAAATGAAATGGAAAAGAAATACAAACTGATCCTTCAAAAACACTGTAGTAGTATTATCAGGTGCTCAGGTAGGGTAAGTGTCTTCTACAATGTATGTAGCACCCATTGTGATGTGTTTACTTTTAAATCTTGGACTGTACATTCATCAACCAACCAAGACACCGTAAACTACTCTATGGCAGATATTACGCTATAATTATATCATGTCAGTTAAGATGACGACCATACAATTTCTATCCAGTTTGGTTTGTTGGGTTTAGCATCTTACTGTCAACTAATGTTATAAAAAGATGTGCCTCCATGTGTTCAATGTACATGTATGTGTGAATGTGGAATTGGAATAGAACTCTATGGCTTACTACGGTAGAAGTGTGGCAGGGTTCAATTATACATAGGATTAAGGTCGCCTTCTAGCTTCGAGCTAGGGGGAATTTCCCTTTAGCTCAGTGGTAGAGCGTTCGACTAGGAACCTGGAGATCGAGAGTTTGATCCTCGGTGGAAGCACACTATTCTCTTTCCTGTTACACTATGTATATGTATATATACAAACTGGACCACAACAGTCACTATAGCTACCGCTTTAAAGTAGTGATGGGCAATCAGTTTAAAATCATAATCGATAATCAGTTTGTAATCGGAAGTAGTAAACCGATCGATGATCGATTGCATAATCAGTTAAAAACTTTATGGGACTGAATACCCAAATTAAGTGACAACACTACTATCTATAGACAGAGTTGTTTACTATACTACACTAGGCTTAGTTCTTTTATAATGAATGGATTTCAAGCAAGTTTTATGCAGTTTTATCAATCATATAATAAAAGTCATAAGAATATACGATTTTCAATACATTTTTTACATTGAAAAAACATTAACACTTTGACTTCAAGTTCAATGAAGAACCGATTATATCAATAATGGAATGTGTAATCGATAATCGGAATCGGAATGGTCAAACCGATCGATTTTTCGATTATAATCGATCATCAGCCCATCACTACTTTACAGGAATATGATCAAATTGATATTTCTCCTAGACCAAATGGAGTGTAATGAAGAAAAGACTGAATTAAATTATTTAAAACACCACTGCTTACCTGACTGAGAACTTCCGGTGGTTTTCTGGAAATCCTTCTGCCAGGTTTTGCGTTATTTCATCATCACTACCGAACGCTTCTTCACACGCGGCACATTTACAGCCATGGAGAGGCTCGCAGAACAAAGGGGAGATGGGCTGCACTTTCTTCACTCCAAACTTTGGTAAACTGTAATATAGTAATAAAATTGAATTAACCAATTGCAACGCTGATAGGCAGTGATATCTGCAATTGATAATAATAATAACAAGAGGCCCAATGGGCCTGCATCGCTCACCTGGTATTAATCTCACAATTGTAACCTTAAGAGTGGACTCAAATAAAGCTACATGCAAAATATCAGTGTCTTGACTGAAGTCATTCAAAAGAACCTGTTAAATGATTAAAACACATTTGACCCCTGTGACCTTGAAAGTAAAATATGGACATTAAATTGAACAAACTCTATAGCCTCACAGAATGCAACTTGTCAAACATCACCCTAATGAAACCTTTTGTTTATTGAGGTGACTTTTAAAGATTTATGAACTGTGGACCAGATGTGACCTCGAAAGTATGCCAAGGTCATTCACATGAACAACCGATCACCCTGAAACCTTAAGTTTTCAGAAGTTGTTTTTGAGTGTTTTTAAGACAAATAACCCCTGTGACCTTGAATAGGGGTGAAGTTCATTCATTTGAACAACATTTGTAGCCCTTCATCCCAGCATACTACTGGCCAAATATCACCATGGGCATTTTGGTTATTCAGAAGAAGTCTTTTAAAGATTCGCAAACCTTGTCAGGCTTCATCCAAGGAACCTATCAACCAAATATCATGCATCTGTGCCTTTTGGTTAATCAGAAGAAGTTGTATAAAGGTTTTAACAAATTTGACCCCTATGACCTTGAATATGGGTCAAGGTCATTTCTTTTTGCAAACTTTGTAAGGCTTCATCCTAGGAACATATCAGCCAATAGCATGCTTCTGGGCCTTTTGGTTAATCAGAAGTCGTTTAAATGTTTTAACAAATTTGACCTCTGTGACCTTAAATATGGGTCAAGGTCATTTCTTTTTGCCTGGGCAGCATTTGGCTTGTTGGTTAATGAGGAGAAGTTGTTTAAATGGAAAAGTTGACGCCGGACGGATTCCACGCCACGGCCAGGTGAGCCAATAATATTAATAGTCTTTATTAATACTTGATGACAAAGTTGAGTCAATGACACGTCTTACATTTGGTCAAGTAGTTATAAGATATACAATAATTTACAAAAGACTATCAAAGCATACGTCCGAGATCAAAGGTAGGCAGGATTTTTAATTCTGATCATACAATTACATGAAATAGAGAGCAGACCTGCAGTGTTTTGACTTTTTACTGTTGTGGTTATTACCTGCAGTGTTTGGACTTTTTACTGTTGTTGTGGTTATTACCTGCAGTGTTTGGACTTTTTACTGTTGTTGTGGTTATTACCTGCAGTGTTTGGACTTTTTACTGGTGTTGTGGTTATTACCTGCAGTGTTTGGACTTTTTACTGGTGTTGTGGTTATTACCTGCAGTGTTTGGACTTTTTACTGTTGTTGTGGTTATTACCTGCAGTGTTTGGACTTTTTACTGGTGTTGTGTGGTTATTACCTGCAGTGTTTGGACTTTTTACTGTTGTGGCTGTTGTTGTTATTGACCCAAGACATGCGGTCCTCCAGGAATCGCAGGCCGGAGCTATCACATTCGTTTTCAATATAAAACTCCCCAGTACAGTCCGAGGTCAACTGCTTCATCTGAAACGTAAAAAGGTTTAACTCCTGTAGTATAAGCACATGTATCTAAAAGAGACTTTTTGTCTAAACCTTCATTTTAATTTAAAACAAGGCAAGGGTAGAGCCAACGCCGTGGTTTTCTTAATGGTGGAATAATTTGGTCCTTTGCTCCTCGTCCGGATATCCGAAAATATGCAGGGGATTGAGTAAAAGTGAGAACATCATAAAATAATTCAATCACAACAGGTGAAGGAGCAATAGGTGTTCTATGATGTTTGTGATGGTCTTTTTAATTTGCTACACATATAACAATCTATTGACAAAAAACAAGTCACACATTATCTTTTATTCATTCATATTACAGCTCAAAATTATCTTTGATCGCCAGTTGTTTCCTTAAAAATTCTGACTACATCACATACTGTAGTTTGAGTAATATAAACATGTTTTCAAAATGCTGAATTGGCCTGTATATATACCTCACCTAGCTGTTCCTGAATTCTGTTACGTGGGACAAGATCAAAAGCTTTTACACAAAACAAACTTGACAGTCAGAAAGCTTACATCACCGGCTTTACAGCAGGTGTGATATCCCAGTAAGAAAGCTTACATCACAGGCTTTACAGCAGGTGTGATATCCCAGTAAGAAAGTTTACATCACCCGCTTTACAGCAGGTGTGATATCCATGTAAGAAAGTTTACATCACAGGATTTACAGCAGGTGTGATATCCCAGTAAGTAAGCTTACATCACAGGCTTTACAGCAGGTGTGATATCCCAGTAAGAAAGCTTACATCACAGGCTTTACAGCAGGTGTGATATCCCAGTAAGAAAGCTTACATCACAGGCTTTACAGCAGGTGTGATATCCCAGTAAGAAAGCTTACATCACAGGCTTTACAGCAGGTGTGATATCCCAGTAAGAAAGCTTACATCACAGGCTTTACAGCAGGTGTGATATCCCAGTAAGAAAGCTTACATCACAGGCTTTACAGCAGGTGTGATATCCCAGTAAGAAAGCTTACATCACAGGCTTTACAGCAGGTGTGATATCCCAGTAAGAAAGCTTACATCACAGGCTTTACAGCAGGTGTGATATCCCAGTAAGAAAGCTTACATCACAGGCTTTACAGCAGGTGTGATATCCCAGTAAGAAAGCTTACATCACAGGCTTTACAGCAGGTGTGATATCCCAGTAAGTAAGCTTACATCACAGGCTTTACAGCAGGTGTGATATCCCAGTAAGAAAGCTTACATCACAGGCTTTACAGCAGGTGTGATATCCCAGTAAGAAAGCTTACATCACAGGCTTTACAGCAGGTGTGATATCCCAGTAAGAAAGCTTACATCACAGGCTTTACAGCAGGTGTGATATCCCAGTAAGAAAGCTTACATCACAGGCTTTACAGCAGGTGTGATATCCCAGTAAGAAAGCTTACATCACAGGCTTTACAGCAGGTGTGATATCCCAGTAAGAAAGCTTACATCACAGGCTTTACAGCAGGTGTGATATCCCAGTAAGAAAGCTTACATCACAGGCTTTACAGCAGGTGTGATATCCCAGTAAGAAAGCTTACATCACAGGCTTTACAGCAGGTGTGATATCCCAGTAAGAAAGCTTACATCACAGGCTTTACAGCAGGTGTGATATCCCAGTAAGAAAGCTTACATCACAGGCTTTACAGCAGGTGTGATATCCCAGTAAGAAAGCTTACATCACAGGCTTTACAGCAGGTGTGATATCCCAGTAAGAAAGCTTACATCACAGGCTTTACAGCAGGTGTGATATCCCAGTAAGAAAGCTTACATCACAGGCTTTACAGCAGGTGTGATATCCCAGTAAGAAAGCTTACATCACAGGCTTTACAGCAGGTGTGATATCCCAGTAAGAAAGCTTACATCACAGGCTTTACAGCAGGTGTGATATCCCAGTAAGAAAGCTTACATCACAGGCTTTACAGCAGGTGTGATATCCCAGTAAGAAAGCTTACATCACAGGCTTTACAGCAGGTGTGATATCCCAGTAAGAAAGCTTACATCACAGGCTTTACAGCAGGTGTGATATCCCAGTAAGAAAGCTTACATCACAGGCTTTACAGCAGGTGTGATATCCCAGTAAGAAAGCTTACATCACAGGTTTTACAGCAGGTGTGATATCCCAGTAAGTAAGCTTACATCACAGGCTTTACAGCAGGTGTGATATCCCAGTAAGAAAGTTTACATCACAGGCTTTACAGCAGGTGTAATATCCCAGTAAGAAAGCTTATATCACAGGCTTTACAGCAGGTGTGATATCCCAGTAAGAAAGCTTACATCACAGGCTTTACAGCAGGTGTGATATCCCAGTAAGTTAACTTACATCATGGGCTTTACAGCAGGTGTGATATCCCAGTATGAAAGCTTACATCACAGGTTTTACAGCAGGTGTGATATCCCAGTAAGTAAGCTTACATCACAGGCTTGATAGCAGGTGTGATATCCCAGTAAGAAAGCTTACATCACAGGCTTTACAGCAGCTGTGATATCCCAGTAAGTTAACTTACATCATGGGCTTTACAGCAGGTGTGATATCCCGGTATGAAAGCTTACATCACAGGTTTTACAGCAGGTATGATATCCCAGTAAGTAAGCTTACATCACAGGCTTGATAGTAGGTGTGATATCCCAGTAAGAAAGCTTACATCACAGGCTTAACAGCAGGTGTGATGTCCCAGTAAGTAAGCTTACATCCCAGGTCTTACAGCAAGTGTGATATCCCAGTAAGTAAGCTTACATCACAGGATTTACAGCAGGTGTGATATTCCAGTAAGTAAGCTTACATCACAGGCTGTACAGCAGGTGTGATATTCCAGTAAGTAAGCTTACATCACAGGCTTTACAGCAGTTGTGATATTCCAGTAAGTAAGCTTACATCACAGGCTGTACAGCAGGTGTGATATTCCAGTAAGTAAGCTTACATCACAGGCTTTACAGCAGGTGTGATGTCCCAGTAAGAAAGCTTACATCACAGGCTTTACAGCAGCTGTGATATCCCAGTAAGTTAACTTACATCATGGGCTTTACAGCAGGTGTGATATCCCGGTATGAAAGCTTACATCACAGGTTTTACAGCAGGTGAGATATCCCAGTAAGTAAGCTTACATCACAGGCTTTACAGCAGGTGTGATGTCCCAGTAAGAAAGCTTACATCACAGGCTTTACAGAAGGTGTGATATCCCAGTAAGTAAACTTACATCACAGGTTTTACAGCAGGTGTGATATGCCAGTAAGTAAGCTTACATCACAGGCTTGATAGCAGGTGTGATATCCCAGTAAGAAAGCTTACATCAAAGGCTTTACAGCAGGTGTGATATCCCAGTAAGTAAACTTACATCACAGGTTTTACAGCAGGTGTGATATTCCAGTAAGTAAGCTTACATCACAGGCTTTACATCAAATGTAGTGTGCCAACTATTTCAGATAGGTAACTCTAGCACACTCTCTGCTACAAGTCAGCAAATAAGCATATGTTCTTAAGAGAAAAAAAACACAAATTTCTTATAAGAGCCGGATGTCAATTTATCATAAAACTTACCTCTAATTCGCGGAGTCGGCATCTTAAATTTGCAATCTCCTTGTGAGCGGCACCAAGGTCATCCACAAGCTTGGAATTAATCCGGAGAGCTGCAACGTAAAATATATAGTTAGGTTTGAGTGGATTATATCTTATCAACATGGATTGGGGAAAATATTCTCAATTTATCAAATTTGTCAAAATGTCCCATAGTTTTTCATATTGCAATTATGAAAACGTAGAAATTATCCAACTGGTCGTATTGGGGAACAGATCTGAATACGCTGCACACATCCAGACAAACAACATTTTTATTATTCCTTAACAACAAGGGAGAACAACTTCACTCAGCTTTACATTATGGTATTAACCTCCAAATGAGCTGAGAGAGAACTTGTTTCATTAATATTCAAACCCCAAAGTTTAGTCAAAACCCATTTAGCCATTCTGTATTCATCCTCCATATCCAGGGGTTACACTCACTTTCAATCTAAGCACCCCTGGAATATGTCAGAGCAAAATTGAAGGCTCGGTGTGCGCCACCGGGTGGGTGCGCCAAGAAGACTAGTTTGATCCTTTGAAGTACATCAAAAGAATCTCGTGGTCGCATAACGTTAAAACTAACTGGCTTTGAGGTTGGACATCTCCCTTCCGTAATCTTCAAACAACAGGTATCACCTTAGTGATTGGTCAGGTTTTTTAACCCGACACCAATAAAATCGCAAGTCGTGCGCCTTCAACTTGACTATGACATATTCCAGGGGTGCAGAGAGCGAAAGTGAGCGTAATCCCTGGATATCGAGATGTTCTGTATTGTGTGCGTTGAAATGAAAATAAGACAGGTGACCTAGAGTTACGTTATAGGAAAAATGAGTGAAGAGTTGTGACAGGAATCACAGGACACAGACTTATAATTAAGAAATGAACATACTTTCCGTGAACTGGTCCTCTAGATCATGATCTGATGGGTTCTTGGGGAGACTTTTCATGTCTGGAGGTTCCGGACGCGATACTGAATCCGGGGTCACTACTGGGTCAGATGTCATCACAGAAACTGGAGTTGTTACAGGGTCGGAGGACTTCAGAGTGTCGGGGGTCGTCAAGGGTTTAGAGGTTACCAGGGTTCCAGGGGTCGAAGTGCAAATATCCTTAGATGGCTCAATGTTATTGACAGCAGGACTGGAAATAAAAATCACATAAAAAAACAAAATTGTACCGGAGGCAATTCATTTTTTTTGGTCTTTTTTTCTGGTTTATTTTGATAAAATATTCTTCTCCATCAGCCCTTTTTTATACAAGACGTATTATGATTTCACATGAAAGCAATTGTGTTTGTGCGAAAAGGCTTCAGTAGTTCACCTGGCATTTCGGATATTTAAATACAGTATGCAAAATATAGTACATGTTTACCAAGAGGACAGTAACTTTCATGAGATCAGACAGAAAGAGACTTTTTATATCCTTTCTGGACCAAGTCTCAGTTCGCAGGATATCTCACACCAGTAAAAGTTCTGGATACACCTGTCTAGGGTAAGAGAACCACCTATCTTAATTGAGGTAGACGAGTCGAATGATTACCTTGTGCATATCACATGTTCAATGCATTGTTGACATATTATTAATGTATTATCGACATATTATTAATGTATCTTTGACATGATATCATACACTTATATCAGGGAAATCCCTCCATTCTCAACTCTAGAGTTAAACAAGAATATCTCACACAAAGAAAAGTTTGGATATACCTTCAAGGTAAAGAAGAAAAAAATATTCGGGAAACACAAATACCTGATTTTCTTGATATCTGCACTTGGTTCTGATACTATTTCAGGCAAAGAATTCTTTCTCTCTTCCTTAGCTGAAGGTTTACTGTCCAGACCATCAGTTTGCTTTGGTGTGGTGGCCTCTTTGCCGGGATGATGCACCAGTGCCTTTGTAGTTATCCCCCCTTGTGTGCGATTACATGACCTGGATCTTCTGAATTTGGGTGAGCTGTGCCTCCGAGCCTGGGAGTCCAGGGTTTCCTGAAGACTGGCTGGAGAATTCTGCAGACTGGTAAGTCTTTGTCGGTTGTTTTTCTCGTGGAACTGTGGCGAGTGACTGATGGTACTGGAACTCTGGCTGCACCGGGAGCAAGGCCTGCATCGTTCCTGAAGTTTTTAACAATGAAATCAAAATGACTGAAAGCTCCGGATCCTTGTTTATAAGGACCCCTGTTCCAATGCAGGTAAAAACACCAGAGAATTTCATATCATAGCTTACTTAACTTGAACTGGAAGCTAAGCTCCAGACCAAAATACTTTAATCACAGGGAGCTAGGAAGCTGAGCTCTATGAAACTGACTAACGTTTAATATACCTGGAACCTGAGGTAACTTTTCATGAACTGCAAGCTGCATTCTGTGAAACTTGTACAATAACATGGAGCTGGAAGCTGTGTTCTGTGAAGCCCCCTTTTTCTGAGCTAAGAGAGACAGGGGGTTGGACTTACACTTACCTGGAGCTGGAAGCTGTTTTCTGTGAAGCTCCCTTTTCCTGAGCTAAGAGAGGCTGGGGTTGGACTTACACTTACCTGGAGCTGGAAGCTGTGTTCTGTGAAGCCCCCTTTTTCTGAGCTAAGAGAGGCTGGGGTTGGACCTCTACTTACCTGGAGCTGGAAGCTGTGTTCTGTGAAGCTCCCTTTTTCTGAGCTAAGAGAGGCTGGGGTTGGACTGGTGGAATGACTTGTTCTGACACTCAATGATGCAGTGGACCTCAAAACATCATTTTCTTTCTTCAACTTGAAGACCTTTTTCTCCAAACTGAAATTTATGTAAATCAAGTTTTCATTTTCATTGAGATAACAGATCACAGGATCCCTGTCCCACTGATCACACAGCAAGATAGGGCAATAGCTAGGCTACTTCTTTTTCCACAAACCAGCAAAGGTACTGTATATGTTACAAGCTTTAGGTATGGTCCTAGTATTGTTTCATCTTGACACAATCAAAGAAGTTTGTATCTAAAATTTTCGTAAGACTTCTATCACAATTATTTTCTATAATAGAAATATAATATAATATTAATTCAATTTATTTTACAACAAATGTGAAACAAGTTAATTCAACTTATATTAATCACTCTTGTTGGTCCGAATGTTAGCATGCTTGCAATTGGGTCTTAACCCTTTCAACACTGTAGACCATAATAGACTCATCCAGATCAATGCTTGGGAGAGCTTTCTAAAGTTCCATAGGGTTGAAAGGGTTAATGTGGGAGAAAACCGGACTACCCAAAGTAGAAAAAATGCAGAACAAATAGAAACACACAGTTCCCTTAGACTTCAAAACTGAAGTTTTCTTCTGGGGCATGGTGGACACAGGTTTCTCATAACATACATACCTCCTCTTTGTGCGGAGTAAGTTGGCTACATCGGCACAGAGTGGTACGATGCCTTTACGTGTACTGTTGACAACAAACGCCACAGCCTTAGCGGCTATCTCCTTATCCTCCACGAGACTGTTCAGTTCTCCAAGCTCAGTGCTACTGCCTGGAATGTAAAAACCAGTTACATTACATGTACTGTGGTCATGCACATGTGTTCTCCAAGCTCAGTGCTACTGCCTGGAATGTAAAAACCAGTTACATTACATGTACTGAACCAGTTACATTACATGTGTGACAGGGTATAATTTATATTTTATTGTTTTATAATATGTATTAGGACATGCTTTGACTATGTCATTATATTTGCTGACATGGGTCAGAATGTGCTTATTTATCTAATAATGTATTAAATAAACCATTTGAAGGGACCAGAGTTTTGATTTGGTTTTTTCCACCCTGTTACACATGTACAGTGGTCACATGTGTTCAAGCATCATATATGCTAAGAGTTGTCTCCCTTGGTGCAAATAGAAACACCTTCACTAGATAATTCTCACTACAACATTAGTGTCATGCATAAGATTCCTTTGAGGACAGGATTTATATCAGTCTACTACATATCTTTCCAGTTATTTAATTAAAGAAATCAAAGCATTTAATCATTTATAAACAAAGTTGGTCAAAAGAACAAAAATGTACTTTGCATACCTTTAAGTTCACCTGATATTTGAACTTTTGTTATTGGAATTTTAGCATTTTTTGAAAGAAATTTAGAATAAAAACTTCAGTTTTTTTATATGTTCAATTCAGGTAGCTTAGCCACTCTATCAGCTCACTTGGTACTTTGTACCAGGTGAGCAAAGTACCTTGTATTTTCAAAAGTATTATTTCCCGATATATACTATAATAGTAAACTACCCTGACCCTAGAACGAATATTCATACCCTGCCTACTCTCCGCTCCGGCAGGGACGACGACCATCTATCAGAAATCGTCCGTCCATCGTCCAGAGTTACGTTATCGTAGCTACCCCGCCCCCTGCACAGTCCCAGGGGGAATGAAATTCACAAATACTAGTATGCTTTAACTACTTTTAAACCTTTCATTCCCTGAAAATATTTTGTTGTAGGATTTTAGACCCATTTTCCCCCTTTTCATTCCAGTTTTGTCCCTCAGGTTCCAAATGATGTAAGTTAGTTCCCTGTATCCAGTATAGTAAAATTTAACCCATCTCCAGAGGGGATTTAATGAACAATTTAATTTGACCGTAATTTTTTTTACACTTTACTAAAACCTTTCCATCATCCATGCATGAAGTCAAGCGTAGTTGATTTGATGACCCCTCCCTCAGGTCCTAGCTTTTTTCTATCTGCCATCCCATTACAGTACGGTAATAATTACAATAAGTTCTGATTTATTTTTACTGAATATAAACAAAATTAATATACTCAAAAGAGTTATTCCCCTTTATTCAGGTTATGCATGATATAGCAATATAACATTTGCACAGCCTTACCAAGTGGAGCTGACCTGGGTGTTGTGAAATATACACATTAACCCTTTTACCCCTATGTAACTTTAGTAGACCCTGCCATGCATTGATATGGATGAGTCCATTATGGTCTACAGTGGTGAAAGGGTTAAGACATACAGTATAAACCGCCTACAAAAGTCCATATTCCATATATTTGAAACTGGAGGACATCTAGGTCTGATCAGAGTGATGAAGGCAATTTTTGATTTTGTTCCCCCTAATTTTACCCCTTTGAACCATGCCCCTCCGGCCCCAGGTGGGCCAGGGTTCCATTTTAAAGGGTATTTAGTCAAATAACACCATTAGAATTGGTTAGATACTGAATATATACAGTAAAAACCTTGTTATATACCGCCACCCTCTGTACATGTGATTTTGGCGGTATAACAAGTTTGGCGGTATATCAGGTTTACAGTTTTAAACACACACTTACTGAACTTATATTTAAAAAAAAAAAAAAAATCAGAATACATCTTTTTCATAATTTGTAATTTAACGTAAATTGTTGAGCGTGCAAAATACACAGCTGATTACCTGGTCAGTCGGCAGTCTCATGTAACAATACGATGTACACACGTACGTAACATTCCTGTCATCGGGATATACATTTACTCGACTCAAATTGGCAGTATTTAACGAGGCCAAAAAAGTGTGATTTTAACCATTTGTTTTGGGAATATGATGGCAGTATGCGGGTTTGGCGTTACAACCGGTGCATTAACGTTGGGGAAATCCGTTCTGAGTAAATAAATGGTGGTATGCAGGTATGGCGGTTAAACGGGTGGCATTACAATGGGGTTTTACTATACATATCTCCCAATATAGTTGATCGGTGCATAGGTATATCATTGGAACAGGTACAGGTAGATTTGGGTGACTGCATGGGTTTCCATTACATTTCACTTCATCATCAAATCCCCCCCCCCCCCCCCCCCCCCCCCNCCTACATCTCTAGTCTCTATACTCTAAAGTAAATATTAACATTTTTTCTCTACTGCTAATCCTATTACCTATTATTTCTAATGGTCGGCCTTAATTGTTAAATTTGCTATATCAGTTGAATTTATACAATTAGTGAAGTTATTTAACCTGCCTGTGTTATACTGCAATCTTCTCATTGTTGGGAGATGGCTTAATATAAGAGCCAACTCTTGTTGGCAGATCCCTAATATTACATTACGTAAAATTATATATTATGTACAGAATATTTGTAATATTGTTTAAACTAATGAAGTTGATAATGACAAGACCTGAAGACAACATCCAGTGTGGTCAATCTTATCTTGTGGGAAATTAAAGTCGGTGATAAATATAGCTACAACCGAAATTGTGCAATATCTGGGTCATTCAGTGAGAAGTAAGCCTTATATACAGGTTCGTGCAGTGAGTCTTATTTCACACTTAACACAATCTTAGAATTTACACAATACATCCCCAGCAAGAATGAAGTATCATATATAAACTATTTGAGATATATCTGTTCATAGTTGCATTGGATTCGAATAAAAAGAAGCACAGTTCATTTGAGTATGCACGCAAGTGAGTACCATAACTAAGGGTAAACATTTAAACCAGACAAAGGACAATATCAGTCAGTGGTGTAGCGTACAAGTATGATTGTATGCTAAAGCATACACTAAAATTTCATAATATTTTTTTCAATCATATATTTCTATTAATTTCTTTTTTTTTATGTTTAATAGCGACAGTCCCTATCAATCATAAAGAGGAAAGAATAAAAACAAATCTTGAAAAGTTTAGTCTGGTAAAATAGTGTTGTTTATATACACACCGAGAAATCTAAATCAAAATCTACTTAGTGAAGTACATAATTTATTAATATTCATACAAAAAGTAGGGTTTTACTTGTTAACTCATTCATCCCTGCATACACATTTGAACTCTTCCAATTCATAGATTGGAATAGTTCATTATGAAATTTCAGGGGTGAATGAGTTAATTATCAGACTAAAAGGATTTCCCAGAATACAAGAGATTGCTTCTAGGGCCTCATAGAATTGGGTGGTTTTTTTCCAGCTACGGGAGGGGGAACCTGAATTTGAGGTTCTTATATACTGCTTTATCACAACCTAGTTCGTAGGTCATCTCAAAATGGTTCACAAATTATTATCTGTGGTTATAGCGCTTTGCAACCAGCAAATACCTTTCTCAACTCCCTGGGGTACATACAGCCGGTGCTGCTCACAGCTAGCATTCTACAGTTCTAGCACTGCCCAACCACGTACTCATTTACAGCTGAGCAGACTGGAACAAGCAGAGTTAAGTTTCTTGCTCAAAGATACAACACAGTGTCTTGACTTGAATCAGCAACCCTTCGGTCACAAGCCCGGCTTACATCTTACCACTAGACTACAGTGCCTCCTTAACAGATGTAATAGTTAATATTGTATATTGATGTGACCTCCTATAAATATTTTGGGATTTTCATCAAAAGATCACCTCGTTAGAAGGTCACGCTTGGTAGTACCCTAGGTGAATCAAAGTTGAAATGGCAGCAGTTTTGAAGACGTGCTCTAATATTGTGTGTATCCCTATAGCACCTCAAATTCTGGTTGCATCGAGTTCATGAGGACATTCACTCCCCGTATTTGACTAATATTTCATTCTTGAATGAGTGCATTGGCTGACTGGGGAGGATATTTTAGGAGTTACGCCGATTTCTAATTTTTGTGTCTTGTTCAGCCAACAAATGTTGGATCGAGGACAAAATTGTGGCTGTTTGGAGTCCAATCTTTAGGAACAGTATTCTGGGTTGCAAGAAAATCCCTACAGGCTCTTTCAACGTGTGGTCTAGCGTTATCTTGCTGCAAGATTAGATCACCTGGTATGCTGCCTAACAAAATTAAGACACATCACGGGGCCTATCCTGATAACGTACGGCCGCTGAATTTCCACTGAAGATCACCAAAGGTGTCTTAAAACCATGGGAGATTACCCCCTCCCACGAAACCATAACCAAACCACCCCAAAATCAATTCGCGATAACTGCGGCATAATTGTTAAAGGAATTATTGTTTGCAAAAAAGTATTGGCGATGGTTTGTCTCGATGTTAGCGATAAATTGATACTGGATTGAATGAAAAAGGATGCAGACACACATATTTTGATATTTTAGCCGCACCAGATGTGCAGAGGGTTTTTGTCACACCTGAGCTGGTTGAGTTTAACATTGGTTAGGGTTATAGGCAGGGTGCACTTTCATTTTCCCAAATTTTTATACAGCTATGTATATTTAATACAAAATACATAATCATTTTAGAAGTTTCATTTCTTTTTCCTTTCAGTATAGGTATATATTGAGTGAGTGGTTCTCATCAAAATCACACTTAGTCGTGTCTATTTGAGAGGAAAAAATAGAAATATATATATATATACAACATCTTATACATTTTGAATCTTTAAAGGAAAGAACTTGGATAGGCTATTCCGTCTTTTCGTATTGCAGAGTTATCTGCACTTGTGAGCAGGTATTGATTGTTACATCATTAGTTTTTGAGAAAACGACGAAATTTTCTCACACAAACCAATGACGTAACAATCACTTGCTGCTCACAAGACGGAAAACCTGTTGCCCAATTTCAATTGTACTTGAGATTTGTAGAATAAATTATTCTGATAAGAACATTTTTGAAGGCTTTTAATCAATTTCCTTATCTTCAAATGTAAACAGAAGTGGCTAAAATTCAGTTTTATTACAAAGCATATGTGGCAACTATTGAAAATAATGAAACCCATTACAGGAGATAAATACTTTGAAGCCCAAATTGGGAATGGACTTGTGTTGTTTACCGGCTCTTGTTATTAATATAAACTTTATTTCATTCCTCATTAAGTTGCATGACACCACATAACATACAAAGTACAGAGGAATGGGATCCGGAAACAAGTTGAAATAACTTATATAAATCTGTTTCCGAGAATTTATCTCATTAAATTAAGGCATGATGGCATAGTTACTGAATTCTATGGAAAGAAATATAACCACTTAAAACAGTAACTTACTTTTAAACGTAGTTTGAGGGGATATTTGAAATGTGAGTAAAAGAATAGTATTGGAAAACACTTAATGACCTACGAAGTCGGTCAGTGTCATATTTCATAAACCCTGATGTATGCAACTCCAAACCAGAGGCTAAAAATAATTAAAGTTTATAGATCTTTGTTCGTTTTAGGAAGATTCCATTTATTATGTATTTTTCTGATTGGTTGTAGGAAGATTTAAACACACAAATACATTGTTATCATGGCAATGGCATGTCTCAACAAGCTATCTTAAAGCTACAGCACAAATAATACTCAATATTAAGGCCTTATGGACCCTAAGAAGAAGATTTTTTTTAAAGCTTTCAATATATGACCCCTGCAGTGAACTCATGATAATGGGTTTTTTCTGAATCTAGACACGAACATTTTCAATGTTTTTTGTACAAAATAATTTACATTGCTCTTTGACCAAGCCATAATCTCAAACTTGACTTTTGACCTCAACAGTAAAGTAAACCATGAATTTTGATATCGGAACTTGTTACAATATGGTGTTGGAAGGTTTTAAATATAGGTGTTCCTGTGACCTTGGAAGTAGGTCAAGGTTGATTCAGGAAACGTTTTATCACCCTTTCAAAGTAGCTATAGTACAGGCAAAATATCATGACTCCAGGTCTTTCAGTTCTTAAGATGAAAATCTTAAAAACAAATATCCATATAAATAACCTAAATGTTGACATATGAGCCCAGCCATTTCTCAAAGTTGATCTTTTACTTCATCATAAAACATTAGATAAAGGTGCACATGACTTGACTTCATATAACTTACTGAATTATCATAGAGCATTAAAACTGAAGATGCTTCAGATAATCTTGTTATACGTTTTGAACATATGTGACCCCTGTGACCTTGGAAGTGGGTCAAGGTAAAAAAAAAATTGGGGGGGGGGGGAATATCTAATAACTAAATTGTGCAAACATATTGTACATACAAAAAGAAAAGAAAGTGTCCATTTCCTACTCAAGAAATTAAATTGGGTATAGATACAGGTTGGTTATATAAAACTTCTCATCTTTGAAACTGTATATTTACATATATATTAAGATCAACGCATAAGGACAGTGTTTCTGAGAGAAAAAGTACCTGTTTCCAATGTGCCAAAAAATAAAAGTAGATGCTTATTAAATATCTCTATCTTTTTTTCCCAATTTGTTAAAAATGTGTTTTTTATTTTTAAAAAAAGTACAAGTCTTTTGAAATAGGAATAAAATTACTGTATCAGGACTATATTTTGTTATAATAATAATAATAATAATAATATTTATTCGGTAAAAGCAAGATACAGGTACAAATATCACATATGATCACAGATTTCAATTGCATAATAATCACTGATTTATCACAGTATTTAGCTTATCACATCAAAGTTAATATCACAAATTTTGGAGCACTATAATTACAATGTATCTGTTTGACTAAGCTTTAACCTAGGATATCCCATGAAAGCTGGGTGGCAGCTTATTTCCAATGGGGTCCTCTAGTATAGATCTTAATTACTTAGATAACAAAAGGTCCTAAGGATTTGACCTTATAATATGAATATAAGATGGTATGTTTGATGTTTGAGATTTTTATCTATAGATTTCTTTCACACAACGGTACAATCAGCCTTAACAATATCATGTTTTTGTCAATGTCACATGATCATTGTGTCTATAACCACGGAATTAGATTGCTATCTAAACTTTTCACAGATTCATAAATTTCATTATTATTAATTTCGAAGAATTAGATTGGTAATTTCAAAACACTTTGTGCAAAAATATGACCAAGCGTTCCATGAGAATGACGACATAATGCATATCTTTCTGTATAAAGATACTATTCACGTAAACACAACATGTACACAAAACATTGTAAACCGTCTCGTAATCGTAATCGCAGGCCCGTACATCTACGTATACGCAGGAAGTTAACCTCAGGCACAAACTGTTATCATGCAAAAACCCAGTACATCAGCTCGAGACATTCACATTGGAAATTTCTTCCCGATAGGTTTATATAAATAGTTGTGCGGTGTTTTGATCTCATACGTATGTATATACCTCTCTATCAAAATACACCATCAAACCAGAATTCGGTCACCATATGAAATTACCAAACTACTGACAGTTACATAATGTTTTGCACTTCCGGTATAAATCATAACACGTAAATAATCGTTTGCAACGAGAAATGAACACATCTGAATGGTGTACATGTATATTCACACAAAGCAGTATATTTCAAAATATCTTAATCAAAGATTTTTTTTTAGTAAAGTAACTGCTTTTTCCTTTGCTCCCCAAAACGATCGATTTCATAACTTACCTTGGAGGTTTAGACCAGAAATGGAGTTTATCTCGTTTTCCCAACATTGTAGCCAGGATTCCCCGGGCAAGAGACTTCCTGATGGACTATGGTCTGAAGAATGGCCGTCCATTTTGGCTCCGTAATCGCAGCCAAACTTCTCTTCAACAAAACGCCATTTTGTATTGACTAGGAAAAGTATTTGAGGCGATTGGGAGGATCCATTCTATAAATCGAATATATTTACAAATGTGTAGTTTAAAATAATGTATTCGGACATTTATCCGATAGCTGAGATTATCCGGTTTATTGCAGTATGTGTGTGTTTTCTATTCAGTTGTACTTTCCGTGTGTTTATTTGTTTTCAAGGCGTATCAGTAACTGCAAACTATTTCCCCATTTGAGGCCTCTTCCAGACGCTGTAACATAGGGGGTATGTTTGGAAAATGTACTCACTCCCCACTGGGAATCGGTAATCGGAACATATCGCTCTGATGTATACACACGCTAATTTAGCACTAATGTGTCTCTACCGAGATGCTGTTATCTTAAAAACGACCGATGTCTTTGCTTCATGACCGATTTCTTTAATAGTATATCAATAAAATTAGGGAGGGAATCTGAACAGCATAAACCAAAAAGTGCGAGACCTGCAACGAGAGTGTTGGAATGGCAGGAATTTTCATTTTATGCGCACCCATAAACTGATAAAGTGATTTCCAATGCCATGTTTCAAAAACAGCAAAATGTAGGTCCTGTAGTAGTTTAGATCGGAAGGGCTTGTTTTCTCTCCCTCAGTCTTTGCATATCACACTATATTTATACCATGTAAATGAGTTTACAAATTACAAAGATTGCCCAGCGTATGATTTTAATTTAAGTACATGTTACAAATAATATGTAATTCATTTCATATTTAAACGAGTTTCGATGTAACTGGATCCGTTGTATAAGGCCATGCTTGTTCTCGTAGGAACCGACTTCTGCACGCGATCAAGCGATAGTGGGTACGTTTTTAACTTCAAAGTGAAAGTAACTAGCTACTAATTGAATGTCATTACAAATATATTCCAGTTGAAGTCACGTGACAGATACATATCGCACCCTCTCTCATCCATTTATCCATACAACGTCTGCTTCTATCTTTCCATCCTTTTTGGCTTTTTCTTTTTTCTTTTACCTCATTCAAATTGTGTTTTATAGAAAATAGTTTTTATTTGGAATACTCGACATGATGCCGATCTGTTGATCGCTTCGAATTTCTCATTCAATCTTTCCTACTTTTTGTACCCCTCTCCCGATTTTATCTTTCTATCAGTGCTTTTTGTTGTTGTACTTTTCTGTCTTTTTAGGGGATTGGATGGGGGTACGTGGTTGTTGTAGGGGGGGGGGAGGTTGTTTTTGTTTTTGTTTTGTTTTTTGTTATTCACTTAAACGATATTTAACTCAATGAAACCTCTTACTTGAGGACACAGAATCCTGAACAAATACAGTCTACAAAATTGGATTTTTAATCGATATCATCAGATCATAAAAAAATGTTCCTCTTATAAATTTACGTAACAATCTGATAATCGGTTTACCCCGTACCAATGCAACTCAACTTGAAAAACGCCAGGGACAAAATATAAATGAGTCAAATTCAGTATCAATTTCAGATATATAAAAACGGTCTCTGGTAATAGATGAATGAAAATCTTAACTTTTAATGCAATTTAACGCCTAATTGTAACAAATGTCCATTAACTGTTGCTACCTATAATTTTCATATTTAAAACTTCCTTTCTGTTTATCATAGCTGCATTTCTGTACCCTGTAGAAATCTTCATACACAATTTATAGGGTCGATTTCATGTAAGAAGTGTATTTCCGTCCCTACCGTCAGACATCATTTTTTTTTTAAATGTTATTAAAAACGTTAGCAATCAAATAATTTGCACATGACTCAACTCGTGCATGCAGTTTCGACCACTGCGCATGCTCTGATATTTCAGATTGAGTTCGAAGAGTAGCTAGACTGTGTTCGATGATTTCAACAATGGCCCCAAATTTATGTTTTTGGGTTTTTTTTATCTTCAGAGTCGGATCTTGTACAGAAATAGCACCAACTGTTATGTTTTATAGTCACATACTATATAAAGCCATAATCTCATTTGGTACACAAAATGAACATCAAGTGAAAACGTTTTTAGTCATGACAATGATTTCAAGGTTGGTTGAACATTTTCTTCAAATTTTACGCATTGGAAAATATCAAATTATTCTCTGCTTTGCGAGATACATAGGTTATTATACCAGGTATTTTTCATGATTTTTGCAGAGTATGTGCTATTCAGGGGAAAACATTGAATGTCCTTTATTTATTAAAATTACATTATATTACATTGTATAAACAATCACGGTTTAATTCAGTGTTCCCAAAAGATTGATCCGATATGGGGGATCAAACGACCACGGAAACAGAATGATGACGTCACGCTAATATGTTCGAACCCAAGTTTTGTTCGAATCGTCTCCTTGGTCGGTAACAAACGATATCTGATTAAAAATCTTCTGTTACATGGCTCCGTTCAGGCGTAGTACGAAGTTAACGAAGCCATGTAACATATGATGTTAATCAGATTGTAACAAACGATGTGTTCCAGTACATACAAAATGATTCTGGCTATTCACGCAGTGAAATATACGGAACTTTGTAGTGTATGGCTTGATAACTAAATATATCTCTATAGTATGATTAACGGGGGGTGTAATTAAATGTTAAGATTTGTTTTCTGAACAATATTTTTTTTTTAAACTGAAATGAAATAAAAATGATAAAAGGTAAAATTAAAATCATAAAAGTAAAATTTAAAAAAAAAGAAATCCTCCCCAGCGGGGAATTGAACCCCGGTCTCCCGCGTGACAGGCGGGGATACTTACCACTATACTACTGAGGATTGATACAGAATGACGTTTAAATAATATATATTAATCTAATCTAAAGAAATTGAGTCCTAGGCCTTTCAGTCAATATGGGAACGTTATGCATACAAAATAAATTACTAATTCTGTTTTGAGTTTCAACAACCTTCTATATAAATCAAATCTTCTGGAAAATGTGGAATATGTACAGCACTTCATAATAGCAACAGTATCGGGGCCTATTTTTGGTCTAGTGTGTTATATACATTTTGTATTTCATACATAGGTTATTCTGCTTACTATCAGTGCAGTGTTGAGATAGGAACAGTTTAAATAATGGTTTGAAGAGTTTGAGTCAATGGTGCGGGTATGGCATTTAAACTTCAGTGTGAACATTTGGTTTGTGCACGTGTGTCAGGATGTGGTATCAAGTGATAACACGTGTCGTCACACGTGCTCGGAAGGGTCATATGTCTGTGCTTCAATTTTCTTTTTAATAGCTAGAGTTGTGACACGTGCAGTGCCAAATTAGTTAATTAATTAGATGAATTGTCTAACACATCTCCGGTCAGTTCGGCCGCAAGTAACCTTATATAAATCGATCTACCACTTAGACAGTAGAAGTTACCTCCCTTTTGCCGTATGTGGATCACACCTAACCAAAGGGGTACTGTCAGGCATAATGAAAAGTGTTTCTTTTAACATCTGATGAGCTGTCGGTCGCTTAGATTCTCTCCAAAATCTCGACACTGTGTACAAGTGATCCATTTATAATTTAACTCTCCAGCATAACCAACACAAATAAAAATGATTTCTATAAACTCTGACGCCAGAGACACATGTACAATAACTAAAAATAATTTAAATGTGATAGAAACAGCTGTATACATATATATCTGTTATTGAATTAAAATATTTGTAAATATAATATATTGAATATATTTAGGGCTATATATGTCTTTCTTATTTATAAAATAAATGCATCTTCTTAATTATTTTTTAAAGATATCATGACCTAATTAGTTTATTCATAAACGTATAGTATAGTATATATACGTGCACGTGCCTGGTTTATGACGTATATCTTTCATGTATTAAATATGTTAAGTTACCTCACCTTACACATGTGCCAATAACATGTACATGCATAAGAAGTTGTGCATTTTTCAGAACTTTTATTTCACAATCAGTCAATTGTGTTGCTCGAATCTATAAATGGATTTGCTTGTCAATATTTCACCTCTTATCAAGCTACAGATGTCCAATTAAATCTTACTCTTCGTCATATTAAAACATATACATTTAAGCATCCTTTACATATCAAGGGCCATATCTATAGAATGAACTTCGCGATTGTCTTTCAACTAAGTACGAAGACTTTTCCTGAATTAAGCTTTCTTCGTGTTTTATTCTTGTAATTTTATATTTTATGTACATTCTGTAAATAATTGTACATTATATAATACTGTACTGAACCAATTTTGTCCTCAAGTATAAATAAAGACTATAATATATTAAGCTGAGTTGAGTTGCTCGAACCCCAGCAGTCGAAGTACACGGAGGTTCTAACACAGACAAACGCTTACATTATTATTATTAAACGCTTCCTAGTATAAAACTTTTTTTCTTTTTTTTTTTGAATTTTGGAAAAAGGAGAATATGAGAAAATAAAAATACAAAGAAAATTGTGTGTCCGTGTGCTCGTTTTTCGGTTATGATCGGTCAAACATACCAATTCAACATAATGTGTGACTTTTGGTGACCGTATGGAGACCAAACTCATACAATTCCTTTCAAGTGTGACATCAGAAATTTATGTATGTTCTTCTTAATAATGGAAGTGAAATTTCTTTAACCTTTTGTATCTCAGAAAAGTAATTTATGTTACCCCTACCCCCATTATAAGTGCAAAATTACTAATTTTTCATCTTTATTTTTGCAGATTGAACGATTGATAGAAAAAGCTCTGTTATTAAACCTTTAATAATATTCAATAGATGAAATGAATAGGAGTTTTCTTCCTAAAAAAGTTTTAAAAAAATGGGGGGGGGGGGGGGGGGGGGGGGGGTCCGTGTGCTTATTATTTTGCTTAAACACTTTTTGTTTATTTTTTCACCTTTTGCGGGATAAATCACCACAAGCGCTTCAGTTGACATAAATCAATAGTAAAATACCAATATTGTCAAATTTTTCCACTTCATTGTACAATAGTTTCATAATATTGAACATTTAAAACTTGCACAGCAAACATGAACTCGCTACGGTTAAAAAAGGTGAAACAATGACACTT